TTCAGAAACACAAATTTAAGAAGCCTCTGGTTTCCTCAATCATCCAACAAGGTGTGCTTCAGACCAGTTGTAAGTCAACTTTAACTGTGGCCAGCACAAATACAAGAAGTCTCATGTCGCTCTTTCCCACAGTTTCTCAACAGCAATGCAAAGTCTCTCTACCACCATTATCAGGATCTTGCCACCAGAGTCTCACTCCAGTCTCTTTCAAGTCTTGCTGCCCAATATGGGGAGGCACATTCTCTATTATCCTGTTCCCACAGCTGTTGATGATTTGCAAGACCATGTTTCTACAGTTAAAGTAGCTGGAGACTGTGGGGGGTGGGGGACTATTGTAATGTCTAGAAAAGCCAGTTTTTAAGCTAACACTGCAGTAGATTTGAATACAAGTTAAGTACACATGCATGCATATGTGAGAACATATAGAAGTATCCCTGTTGTTGTGTTGTTAGGTGCTGTTAAGTTGATTCTTACTCAGTCACCAGAACAATGGCACAATGGGATGAAACTCTGCCCAGTCCTGTGTGTGTAAATACAAATATGTAGGTGCAGGGATATATGGTTACTGAAGACACAGATATGAATCCCCATCAGCTTTAGTTTGCTTGGCTCCACAGTCAACACTCTTGGCAACAGCAGCCAGGAAATTAAAAGACATGTTGTGATTGGAAAGTCTGCTGTTAGGAAAGTCTGACATCTCCAAAATACTGGACAGCAATTATGTCACTCTGAAGACTAAGGTGTGTCTGATACAGCCCATGATCTTTGCAATCACTTGTTATGTTTCAGAGGATACTAGGGAGGATAGAAGGAGAATTGATGCCTTTGAGCTGTGGTGCTCGAGGAAGAGTATTGAATACACCATGGACTGCTAAGAAAACAAACAGGTTCATTCTGGAGAGGGTTAAACCGGGCGGCTTCTTGGAGACAAGGATTCTGAGGCTTTATCTGACATACTTTGGACATGTTGAAAGGAGGGACCAGTCCTTGGAGAGGCACATCATGCTTGGGAGGGTGGAGGAGCAACACAGAAGGGGAAGACCCTCTATGAGATGGATTGATTCAGTGACTGGGGTAATTGGGGTGGGTGTGTCAGAGACAGTGAGATTGGCACAGGACAGAGCAGGGTTTAGGGCTCTTGTACATAGGGTCACGATTAGTCACCTGTGACTCAATGGCACATAACAATAACAACAACAACATCAGACATAATCAAAGTCTTCAGACCATATTTTTTTATTATGCTAGTTTATTTACGAAATTTAAATACATTGTTTTTCAGATCAGATTCTTCTGATTTCCCTCTACCCCCCCTGCATCAAATTGTATAAACCTATGATTAACCCACCACCCCACTACACTCCTGCACGTCCTCATCTCTCTGCTTCAACCCTCTCCCTGCTTTGGACCCTCATACTCATTCTACAATAATGGTTTTATACAATATTTGTCCTTGTGGGACTGAATCAGTTCCCTTAGCATAATGCTCTCTAGTCCTTCCCAAACTAGGTAATAATATATGAAATAATTGCTTCTCTGTGCTGTGTAGTATTCCATTGTATGAATGTACCACAATTTCTCAATCCATTCGATTGTGGTTAAACATCTGGGCTGTTTCCATGTTCTTGCGATGGTGAATAACACTGCTATGAACATTGGTCTTTAGGTTCATTGGTTCTTCATTTATGCCTCAGTTCTCATTTTCTCAGGGTATATTCCAAGCAGTGGAATAGCTGGGTTGTATGGAGCACATGAAGGAAATGCTCCAGATCACTAGCAATAAGAGAGATGCAAATCAAAACCACAATGAGATGCCATCTCACTCCAGTAACAGTGGCAAAGTTTAACAGAGAAGCAAGTAATAGATGCTGGAGAGGATGTGGCAAAATAGGAACTCTTATCCCTTGTTGGTGGGATTGTAAAATGGTACAAACATTCTGGGAGGCAGTTTGGCACTTCCTCAAAAATCAGAACATAGATATTCAGACCATATTCTTCAGACAATTCAGTCAACTAATGTACAACAGTTTGCAAAAACCTTAATATACAACCTAAAGAAATGAGTCAATGTGGAATCTTAAAAGCTGTTGGTCAGCCGTCTAAACCATAGCTATAAAGCTTGACTCACCAGGAGCAAAGCAGTAAGAAGTGAAATGGTAACAAAAAGATCAGAGAAGAAACAGATCTCCCTGGGCTGCAACCTCATCAACACTGAGATCAGAAGAACTGGAAGGTGCCTGGCCATTCTGCTCCGGGTCACAATAGTTGGGAGACAATATGAAGCACGACTCAATTCTCATTGGAGTGGGGAAAGCATATAAACTGTAACAGTAGAGAACTAAAGATCACCCAGAGGTTATTTCTCTGAGATGCTCTTTAAACCTAAAATCTATTCCCAGAGGTTACATTTTAGTGAATGTAGAGTGGCCCACAAAAAGCTATTGTCCTTCTTAACAATCATCTGTGAATTCAAAGGCCTACAATTTATCAAAATTCAATGTGAGAAGATAAGAGGACAGGGAAACTAGAGTAACAGAACAAGCAGATGAAAATTAATAAGTGTGGACTGAACAAACAGATATGTCTTGCAGAAGGTGCAGCCCAAGCGCTCCTTGGAGGCAAAGATGAGAGAGCTTCCTCACACATACTTTAAGCATGCTTCTAGGAGAGGCTATTCCTTGGGGAGGGACATCATGCTTGTAAATACAGAGGGTCGGTAAAGAGAGGAAGACTTCCAGTGACATGGATTGACATGGAGACTGCAGCAGTGGGCTTGAGTGTAGCTGATTTGGGGGATGGAACAGGATAGAACAGGATTCAGATCTGTTGTTCCTAGGGTTGCTGAATCATATTCAACGCAACAGCACCTAACAACTGGCATTGAACAATTTTGTGTGGAAATTGTTAAATGGAAACTAACTTGCTTTTGTAAACTTTTGCCCAACAATAAAATGTCATCTTAAAAAATGTCAAGTAGAATAATTTTGCCTGGTAGATCTTGCCCATAGCATGATTCTTGCAAAATAATTCCAAGATTGACATGTAGTATTTTCTTTAGATGTTGGTTGTTTTTTTTGTTAATAACTTTCATTGTTTTTTTTGGTATCATGATTATATTAGTCTGATCAAAGAACTAGAAAGCTTTTCCAATATTCTAGAAAACTTTAGAAGATGCATATGTTTCTGTTCAAGCAAGTCGTGAAAAGTTAACTGTAAAATCATCAGTGTTTTCAAGTTTTGTAGGAATGTCTTTGACACCATTTTTTTCTCTCTTATAGTTGTTCATATTTTCAAATATTTTAATTACTTGTATTTTTAGTTATGACCATCCAGTAATAGATTTTAAAAATGTTATAATGTTGTTATTGTTAAGTGCTGTCAAATCACAGGCGACTCATAGTGACCCTATGAAGGAGAGTCCTCGACCCTTGGGTGCCTTTCATCCTCTCTCCAGGTTCGTAGGGTTTCCAGAGGCAAGCTGTTACAGAAGTGGCTGCAACTCCTCCTTCCAAGCTTGTTTTAATCACGGAGCTCCACCCCACTCTCTGTCCACATTGGGTAGCCAACCATTAACACATTTGACACATCAGTGTCACAGTGTTCAGCCTCACAGCAACCACAAGTGACCGCGGTACAGCAATTTGTACACCAGGGCTATATGACCTAGAGGAATGTCTGAACAAAAACAATGAAAGACAGGCCCAAGGGCTGCGGATTAAAAGTCACCCACCTTTGGCTTGGTAATATCGCCTTCTGTCCACTGGGCCAGCTTATCTCTCTATGTTGATGTTATTGTTGTAATTTTATAATAGAGTCCTTCGTAAGATTGTCTCCAAATTTTTAAGTTTGTTAACATCTATTGCTACATATTTCTAATTATTTTAGAGTAGCATTGCTATTCTTCACCTAGCAATAATTTCATTATTGTTATTTGAATGGATAATTTCAAGAACATGATCAATGAAAATGATAATTAAGTATTTAATGTATTAAATTTTCCTTTTCCTGAAAAATGAGAATTACACTTGGTAAAATTTTGGTTTCCCTTTAATGAAATTCATGTTTCTTATATGCCTACATTCAAGTTTTAAGGATGTTTCTGTTCTGTTTGCTTGTTTTTTTAGAATATGGTTGGGGAGTGGGCCTTACCAGAAGAAATGGCTGATAATTTACCACCCTCCAACAACAGCATATTAGGCCATGTACTTCACAGACTACTTGAAAAAACTCTTCCTCCACCAGTTGAATCAACAGAACCAGAATTACTTTCATCTGCTATTAAAGGGTGTTTATTGGGAAAAACATTTAGTGGAAAAACTTCCAGTCTCAAGTCTCTACAGAAAGGTACATATCTTTTTCCCTCCCTCCCTCCTTTTTCCCTCCCTCCGTTCCTTCTCTCCCTTCCTCTCCTTCCTCCCTCATCCCTCCTTTCCTTCCTTCCTTACCTCCCTCCTTTTGTCTTCTTCCTTCCTTCCTTCCTTCCTTCCTTCCTTCCTTCCTTCCTTCCTTCCGTCCCTCCCTTCTTTTGTCGTCTCCTTCCTTCCTTCCTTACCCCTCCCTCCCTCCCATTGTGTTTACACAGATTGGGTGTCTATAGAAGAAACCATGTCAATTGAAAAAATATCTGAATTCAACAGGTCATAATGGAGTGGTAACATTTATATGTATGTAGGAACATTTTAGAGAGTATAGCATAATAAGCTGAGATTGTCCCCAAACCTGGTCATATCATACACACACTCACTTATTGCCAGTTGTTGTTGTTGTTGTTGTTGTTAAGTGCCGTCGAGTCGCAGGCAGCTCATCGCGACCCTATGAAGGAGAGTCCTCAACACTGTGTGTCTTTCATCCTCTCCAGGTTCACAGGGTTTCCGGAGGCAAGCTATTATGGAAGTGGATGCCACTCCTCCTTCCAATTATTGCCAGAGTTGGTCCCAAATCTTAGCTGACCCTCTGTTGAATTTACAAGGCTATGACTCTTTAAGGGAGGAGATTGCCCATATTTCTCCTGAAAAGAAAGATTCTCTGAAGAGAAATAATAACTCTTTCTCCTTTCTCCTATTATTTTACTTATATTACTGATAAAATATGATATTAATAATTTAAATACTAAACCAGGTAAAGTACTCAATGTTTTGATTCTTTAACATATGCTAATTTATCTTTCTCTTTAATGTATCTGACTTTTTTCCTCTTGAAGTAAAATTACAAGTTTTCATCCATTTCATTAGCTTTCAGTCAAAAGTACTTATCTGTTACTGTTTCTACTGGAAGATAAAATTTTCAGTGCAATTCCATTTTGTACCCATTCCCAGACAGAAAGTATAAGTCATTATTAGGATGGTAAAAGGAAAGTCTTAAAAAGCAATTTGACAAAACCACAATATGGTGATTAATTCTATAAAACACAATGTATGAGAATGATAATGTGAAACACAATGTGAATAGAGGAAAATATGAAGCACAATGTATGTAAATAAAACACCATGTATATGAACTTTGTATGCAAACCAATATAAAATAAATTTTAAAAAAAAAAATATACTACTTCAGGGCATGTGTAATCAAGCAGAAAACTACCAAAAAAATGGCAAAGATCTAAAAAATTGGAATCTAGTCTGATCTGAAAAGCAATGTATTTGAATTTTGTAAATAAACTAGTATAAAAAGAAAATTGGAACCCTCATACATTTCCTTGAAAGAGAACAAGACCTTCAGTGAGATGAATTAGTATAGTGACTGAAGCAATGGGCTCAAGTGTGTCAGAGGTGAGGATGGCACAGGCTAAAATAGTGTTCAGATCTATGTTCATAGGCTCGCTATGAGTTGTATGCAACTCAATAGCTCCTAATAACAAACATGTATTTCAGGTGGGAACATAGAATGGTCTATTCTGTGGAAAACAGCTTGAAAGTTTCTCAGTAAGTTAAATCATAAAATTGACATCGAACTCAACATTTCAACCAAAAAAGGCAAAAACAACTATTCACATCAAAACGTATACAGATTTTCATAGCAGCATTATTCTCAATGTCCAAAAGACAGAAACAATCAAAATATGCATCAGCTGATGAATGGATAAATAAAATATGATCCATCTATACAGTGAAAAGTATTCAGTCATAAGAAGAAGGGATTAAGGACTGATACATGATGTAGCACAGAGGAACCTTGAAGGCATTATGCTGTGTGAAAGCTTGAATGATTCCATTTCAATCCATATCCAGAACTGGGGAATCCATAGAGAAATATAGCAGTTGGCAGATCAAGGTAGGATGAGGAAAGAACTGTCTTGAGAAGGTATGTGATTTCCTTCTGCGGTGATGAGAATGTTCTAGAACTGGATGGTGCCAGTAGTCACAGAAAACTGTGCATGTCCTAAATGCCATTGCCTTGCACACTTTAAAATGGTGAATTCTGTGTTACGTGAGTTTTGCCACAGTAAAAATAGAAAAGGCCCCTTGGTCCAAAAGGTGATGCCAGGGATTCAAAATATGTAAGGAAAGCTTGTAAAATAAAAACACATGATGCTACATAAGAATAATTATATCATTTTCTAAAATGAAAAGCTTTTGATAACATTAACTTTTATGCCCTAGACTTTCCTGTTCAGATCCTGTCTATAGACACACTTGTCCAAGAAGCTATCCAAGCGTTCCATGACAAGGAAGAAGTTAGCCAGCCCCTACCAGTTCTGCAAGAGGAAGACCAACCGGACCTTCAAGATTTACAAAAAGGCGATGACAAAAGCCAGGCAAGTGGGATTTTAGTTTTCTTTTCTGAACTTAGTACAGTGGAGACAGGAAACTGGGTAGTCTAAAGCCTCTGAGAATAGGAGTTAGAATTTCTGCCTCCTCCAGCAAAGGAACCCAAGCCACTGCCTTTGAGTGGATTCTGACTCACAGTGGCCTTGTTAGACGGTGTAGACCAGCCCCAGCTTCCAAGATGGTGGATCTTTGCTGAAGCACACCGCCACATCTTTTTCATGCAGAGTGACTGACAGATCCGATCTCTGGATTTTCAGTTAATAACCTAAAACTTCCCCCACTGTACCACCAGGGCTTTGTTGTAAAAGGCTGGAGGAGGAACCTCAAACCTCACTGTTGTGGATTTGATTCCAATTTATAGTGAGCTTTCATTGAATTTCTGAGGCTATATTTTTGTGTGTATCTGTGTATTGGTTTGCATACAAGATTCACATGCATTGTGTTTTGTTCAATACACTGCACACCACACATTTCTTTATTCACATCATGTTTCCTACAGTTATTTTTATATTGTTGTTGTTATGTGCTGTGAAGTCGCTTGCGACCTCATAGTGACCCTATGTACAATAGCCCTAAACTCTGCTCTGTCCTGTGCCAATCATACCATCTCCGATACACCCATCCTGATTACCCCAGTCACTGAATCAATCCACCTCATAGAGGGCCTTCCTCTCCTGCGCTGTCCCTCCACCCTAGCAAGCATGATGTCCCTCTCTAAGGACCGGTCTCTCGTCACAACATGTCCAAAGTATGTTAGGCAGAGCCTCAGAATCCTTGCCTCAAGGAGCCGCCTGGTTTAACCCTTTCCAGGACAAATCTGTTTGTTTTCCTAGCAGTCCATGGTGCCCTCAATACTCTTCTCCAGCACCAAAGCTCAAAAGCATCAATTCTCCTCCTATCCTCCTGAGTCATTTTCCAACTTTCTAATGCATAACAAGTGATTGCAAATACCATGGCCTGTATCAGATGCACCTTAGTCTGCAGAGAGACACCATTGCTCTTCAGTACTTTGGAGAGGTCCATCAATCACCAGTGATCTGTGTCTACCATTCTGAATGGAATGAAGAGAGTGCCCATTTTTCCCCCAAGGAGTCACCAGTGGATTTGAACAAATGACCTTGCAGTTAGAGTAACATTTTAGGTATGTGTGTTGTATTATTAGATAGGGATCTCTGATAGTATCGTCCATAGAGAATCATGATGCTAACCTAAAGGAAAGTGGTTCAAATCCAGCAGCAGCTCAGTGGGAGAAAGAAAGGCGTTCTCCTCTTGTGTGACTTATGGCCTCCATAAACCCTTTGGAGGGTCATCTATGAATCAGTTGAGACTTAATGACAGTGAATTGAGTGAGACTTTGTAGGTAGTTATACCAGAAGGGAAGCTGCTGTTCCATCCCTCTTACCAGTTTTGCTTTGCAGTGGTGGTCTTGAGAGATATAACTTCTTTGTGCCCATTTCAGTGATGTGAACATCATTTTCTGACTAAAAAGCCATCAGATCCAAAGGGTGCAAGGAGGCTGGGGTGTGTATGTGCTGGGAGTAGAGGTTTAGCTCTCTCCAGTGTCGATGATATAACCAGAATGGCAATGGCTGTACTGTACAGAGTCCATAGGGAAGTGCACTGAGAACTCAAAGGTAACACATCTCTCTGGTGGTTCGAATCCACCAGTGACTCCACAGAAGAAAGATGGACAGTCTCTTCCCATGTGATTTACAGCCTCAGAAACCCAAAGAAGTGTCAGAGGTGATGAGGGTCTGAATTCACAACAATGAAATTGCCACTAACAGCTGTTTCACAGGCAGATTACACCACAAGTTACTAGTGTCTCTATAAGTGAAATTATCATTAACTTGTGTTTCTTTCTCCAATGTGTTATTTAAGGCAGAAATACCAGTCTTCAGAGTTACTATTGCTCTGGACAAAATAGTGTATTTTTCTAAAATCTTTAATTACAGAAACAAACATAGAAACAATCAAATATGAGAATGCTAACATCTATTCCTACTTGTGTGTCTCTGTGTACTTTATTCCCCAAGGATCTACAAAATGCATCAGCTGATCTATTCCCTAAGGATCAACAAAATGCATCACCTGATCCAGTTTCAGGTGACTCATTGCCAAACCCAGAAGGTAAAGATAGACTTACCTGTGGTAGAAAAACAAATCATCCTGTATTTGCACTAGGACACAGACAGGCAGACAACATGTGTGTGAGCACCAGAATGCAGGGCAGGAGTGCACACTTGTCCACATGGTCCTTTGGAGGACGGAGTTCCCTAACCTGTTGCAACAACTGCCAAATGAGATGGGGAAATTGCAAAGGAGTCTTTTTCACCCTTCTGTGGTAAGACATTGCCCCCTTTTTGTAAAGAACAGCCAGGATAAATCACACTCACTCTTCCCAGCTTCATAGGGAATAAGGATTTTCCTGTTTCCTCAGTACAGTGGCCACTCACCAGTGGTTCCTTTGAGCAGGCCAGTTTCTTCCATCTTTGAGCAAGGCAATTAGAAAGAAATTTCGAAGCCTAAAAAAAAATAATCTCCCATGGCCTCTGGACTCTTATACTTCACATTCTTTGTAAAATAATTGAACAAAACCCCTGCTAAGTTTTAATAGTTCTTATTGACTATTGTAGTCAATGGTAATAAAAGTTGTTGCCATATTAGATAATTTCATTGTATTCTAGAATAAACTCTGATCCTCTTGTGACATCACTGTCATCACCCCTACACGAAGTATAGATTTGGTATGAGTTTAACAATTCTACCAGAGGGCTTGATTGTCTTTGTCATCTTTTAAAAGGGAGATTGTCCCTTTTCAATGACTTTTAAAAATTATTGTGAGTGATACAGGAAATAAACTATATTGCCTAAATCTAATAACACAGTGAGTGGGACAGTAAATGTAAACACTTACTTTGTGCATGTTATCAGGCAGGCCCAATCCCTAGAAAAAGACATCATGCTGGGAGAGTGGAGGGTCAGAGAAAGAGAGAAAGCCAGTCATAAAGACACAGTGACTAACGGTGGGCTTGAGCATATCGGAGACGATGAGAGTGGTATAGGATAGGGCAAGGTTCAGATCTCTCATGCATACGTATCACTACTTATCCTCACAGTCAACTCAATGGCACTTGGAAGAACTCACGAAGTCCTAATCCACAACATAAACAGTCTTCCAAGCATCCTGAAAAACCTACAACCAGGAGAAGATAAAATAGATGAATGGGATCTTCTAAGAATAAAATCCCTATGCACATCCAAAAACTTCTCCAGCAGGGTAAAAAGGGAAGCTACAGACTGAAAGAAAGTATTTGGTAATGACATGTCACATAAGGGACTTATATCCAGAATTTATAGAATACTCAAATGCCACAACAAGATAAAGGTAAGCAACAAAATTGAAAAATGGGCACAGGATATCAACAGACACTTCACCATAGAAGACATTCAGATGCCAAACAAACACATAAAGAAATGTTCAAAATCTCTAGCTCTAAGACAGATTCAAATCAAAATGACTATGAGATATCTCACCCCAGTCAGAATTGCAAAATTTAACAAAACAGCATGCAACAAATGCTGGCAAGGTTGCAAAGAAACTGGAACCCTTATTCACTGTTGGTGGAAGTGTAAAATATTTCAACCACTGTGGAAGGCAGTGTGCCACTTTCTCAAAAAGTTGCAAATAGAAATACCATTTGACTCTGCAATTCTACTACTGGGAATATACCCCAAAGAGACTATAACGGCCACCTAAGCAGATATATGCACACCCATGTTTATCGCAGCTTTGTTCACAATAACAAGGAGTTGGAAACAGCCTAAGTGACCATCAACAAACAAATGGATAGAGAAGCTGTGGTATAGTCACACAATGGAATACTACACTGCATTGAGAAACCAGGAATTCATGCAATATTATTAAAAACGGGTGACCCTGGAGTACATTATGCTGAGTGAAATATCTCAGTCACAAAGGGAAAATATTGAATAGTGCCACTGTTGTAAAACAGGACTGACATCAGGGTTCCGGGGCAGACTGAGAAAGATGGGATAAATGAGGTATACTGCATTGAAACAGATGAGGGAGAAAACTGTTTAAAACAGATATGTGATTAGGTATCGTTGTCATGACAGGAGTCCAGAACGAAGGATGCATAGTGGAGTGGATCTGGGGAGATGGATTGTAAAACAATGGGGGAACTTTTCTTTTACTTTTCAAAGAGAAGAGTGTACTGGGGGGGGGGCTGTAGAGAGAAAAGTGAAACAGTGAATGAATGGAAATCCAAATTCATTAAAATTAATTAAAAAAATGATGTTGTTGTTGTTATGTGCCGTCGAGTTGCTTGCGACTCATAGTGACCCTATGTACAACAGCCCTAAACTCTGCTCTGTCCTGTGCCAATTGCACTGTCTCTGTCACTCCCATCTCAATTATCACAGTCCCTGAATCAATCCACCTCATAGAGGGCCTTCCCCTCCTGCACTGTCCCTCCACCCTCCCAAGCATGATGTCCTTCTCCAAGGACCGGTCTCTCCTCACAACATGTCCAAAGTATGTTAGACGGAGCCTCAGAATCCTTGCCTCCAAGGAGGCACCCGGTTTAACCCTTTCCAGGACAAATCTGTTTGTTTTCCTAGCAGTCCATGGTATTCTCAATACTCTTTTCCAGCACCACAGCTCAAAGGCATCAATTCTCCTTCTATCCTCCTTGGTCATTGTCCAACTCTCTGATGCATAACAAGTGATTGTGAAGACCATGGCCTGTATCAGACGCACCTTAGTCTCCAGAGAGACACCATTGCTCTTCAGTACTTTGGAGAGGTCCCTAACAGCAGACTTTCCCATGGCAATACGCCTTTTAATTTCCTGGCTGCTGGTGCCAAGACTGTTGACTGTGGAGCCAAGCAAACTAAAGCTGTGTACAATCTCAATCTCTTCACCATCCATCCCGATGCTGCCAATTGGTCCAGTGGTGAGAATCTTTGTCTTCTTGACATTGAGCCTCAATCCATATTGTAGGCTGCAGTCCTTGACACGCTGCAGCAGGTTTTTCAGGTCCTCTTCAGTTTCAGCAAGCAGGGTTGTGTCATCTGCATAACGCAGATTGTTGATAAATCGTCCACCAATCTTGACCCCACATTTCTCCTCATAGAGCCCAGCCTCCCGGATAATCTTTTCTGCATACAGGTTGAAAAGGTATGGAGATAGGATGCATCTCTGGCGTATGCCCTTCCCAATTTTGAACCATGCAGTGTTCCCTTGCTCTGTTCTGACGACTGCCTCCTGGTCCAAGTATAGATTTTGCATTAGAATAATCAAGTGTTCTGGGATTCCCATTCTTCTCAGAGTCAGCCATAGTTTATTATGATCACCACAGTCAAATACCTTTGCATAGTCAATGAAACACAGATAGACATTCCTCTGTTATTCCCTGCTTTCAGCTAAGGTTCATATAACATTAGCTACAATATCTCTAGTACCACGACCCCTTCTAAACCCAGCCTGGACTTCTGGTAGTTCTCTGTTGATGTGCTGTTCCAGTCATAAATCTTGCTTGCATGTGAAATAAGTGAGATTGTTCTATAGTTTCCACATTCGGTTGGGTCACCTGTTTTTGGGATAGGAACAAATATAGATCTCTTCCAGTCAGTTGGCCAAGTGGTTGTTCTCAAAATTTCCTGCCACAACTTGGTGAACACATCCAGGGCAGCATCTGTTAGCTGAAATATGTCAATTGGTATACCATCTATTCCTGGAGCCTTATTTTTTGCCATTTCCTTCAAAGCAGCCTGAACTTTTTCTTTCATCACCATAGGCTCTTGCTCATATGTTGTTTCATGAAATTCTTCTGTTTCTTCCAATTCCTTTCGATACAGTGACTCAGTATATTCTTCCCATCTTCTTTTAATACTTCCTGGATCATTTAACATTCTGCCAAAAGCATCCTTGATTATACCAACTCGAGGTTTGAATTTGTTCTTCAGTTCCTTGAGCTTAAGATATGCTGAGCGAGTTGGCCCTTTTGATTTTCTGACTCCAACTCCTTGCACATTTCATTGTAATATTTTGCTTTGTCATCCCATGGTGCCTTTTGAAATCTTCTATTCAACTCTTTCGTATCTTAAATTCTTCCTTGTGCTTTGGCTTCTCTGCACTCCAGTGCAATTTTCAGAGTCTCTTCTGACATCCATTTTGGTCTTCACTTCCTCTTCTGTCTTTGCAATGACCGTTTGCACTCTTCTGGATGATACCCTTGATATCCTCCCACAACTCATCTGGCCTTCGTTCATTAGTGTTCAAAGCCTCAAACCTTTTCCTGAGATGGTTCTGAAATTCAGGTGGGATAAAAAAAGGAAAAAACAAAACCAAACCAGCAACAGGAATAATTGTGAGGCTGATACCGAATCAGGTAGGGTTTCTTCTCTTGAACACTGGGCTGCTATAAATTGGAGCAATCTCAGCAGCACCTTACTCACAACACCAGTCCACTTGATTATATATGGTGGTGGTATTGTTGTTAGGTGCTTTTCAGTCAGGTCCAACTCATAGTAATTCTATGAACAACTGATCTGAACACTTTCCTATCCCATAACATCCTCACAATCTCTGACACATTCAAGCCCATTGCTGCAGTCACCATCTATAAACTGATGAGATTTGTTTTGTTTTGTTTTGTTTATTTTTTTAATAAAAATTTTTCTTTTAATTGTGATTTCAACAAAAGTTTACAGAAAAGTTACATTTTCATTCATTCACTGTTGCACATTTTACCCCCTCTCCCGTCCTTCCCCCTCCCCAAGTTGACTTTTTTAATACCAGTTTATAAAATTTGAATACATTATTTTCAAGAAGAGATTCTTCCAATTTCCCTCACTTCTCCATCCTTCAAATTGTACAACCCCATGATTAATCCCCCCTCCTCCTGCACATCCTCATCCCTCTCCTTCCACCCTCCCCCACCCTCTTTGGATCCTGATATTTATGCTCTAATTTTTGAGCATAGATCTTACCTCTGTAACTTCTAGAATTCTCTACTCTGAAAAATATTATCTATAATTTACTAGCAGAAAGATAAAAGTATAGCAAGTTACATATGAGCAATATTCCTTGAGAACTTGACTCTTTTCTTCCTACAAACAAAGCGAGAGTGCAAATGTTCTTAAGCTATGCTTGTTATGAACTGTGTTATGTATGCGTTCAGGTCATCCCACAAGAAAGGGTGGGAGTGGAAATAAAAGTCCTGCAGGGGTGATTCTGTCATTGTCTTCTTCTAAGTGTATCAGACAGGGTTGAGTACAATGACCGACCTGTCCAAACACAGTTGTTGTTGTGATTGTTGGTAGGTGCTGTCGAGTTGTAGATGACTCATAGCGACGCTATGGACGAAAGGCCTGAGCACTGTCCCTAGAGTTTCCAGAGGCAAGCCATTTCAGAAGTGGATGCCACTCCTGCTCCCAAGCTTGTTTTAATCAGGAAGCTCCACCAAAAACTGTCCACCATGGGTAACCATTATCAAATTTGATACATCAGTGTCACAGTGTTTAGCATCGTAGCAACAACGAGTTACCTCTGTACAGCAATGCACAGACCAGTGCTACACCACCTAGAAGAATGTTTGACCAAAAATAAATTGAACCAGGTCTGAGGGCTGCAGATTAAAATCACCCACCTTGGGCTTGGTAGCTTAACTTTCTGTCCACTAGGCCAGCATAGCTCTCCAAACATAGATTAAAATACTGGCCTCCTTGTTGGTTATAAATACTGAGTCTTTGTTATTATTACTTTTCTTATTACTAGTTGCTAATACTGATGAAACACTCAAAGATGAAGAAGTCAAAACCAGTGATAGTTTCTCCAAAGTAAGTCCTATAATTTCAGCCACCAGTATTTTGATAGTTTCACCAAAGTAAGTCCTATAGCTTTGGCCACCAATATTTTGAGTGCAATATGACTCATGGTCTCTCGGTGTGTCTTCACATGGGATAAAGTTACAAAGGATTCCTCATTGGTTAGAGTAAATCTGATGATAAATAGCCTAATCCCTCTCCTTCTTTTTCTGGTCTAAAATTAGAATAGTAAGTTTACATAATATTCTTTATTTATCTAAAATGGTAGAGCTTGCAATTTGATTTTGCCAGGTAAGAAGGCACATACTTCATTTTTATTTTGCACTTAGAAGAGAATTCACTTTTTTCATGTATTTTTTTCTTTCTATCAGAGCCAGTTGCCATCACATCAGTTCTAACATAGGAGAAATCCATGAATGTCCAACTAAAGACAGGCCAAGTAGGGTTTTTAATAGCTGAGTTTTTACAAACAAATCATTATGCCTTTCTTCAAATAAGGTCTCTCTGGGTGGACTTGAACCTCCATACTTCAGGTGAGCAGCTGAGCACTTTAACAATTTATTTCACGTAAGGATTCTGGTGGTGTTTTTGTGGCCAACCCAAAGGCACACAATTCAAATGGACCAGCTGCTCCTAGGGAGAAAGACAGGTGATCTCCTCCCATGAGATTTCCTGACTCTGAAAACCCACGGAGCGTCAGCCATGAGCCTCTTCTAGCTCCACAGCATGTAACTATATAGGTTTACCTTGGAATTATTTCCCAGAATTTATTCTTGCTTGCTGACTACAGATTTTTTTTTAGCCATCCTTGGAATATGTATATAGCACTTCTCTAACTATTTCTTCACTGAGAATGAAGACATTTTTTATTTTTCTAGTTCTCAAATAATATTACCAAATTAAATAAGTAGTATTTAATTTGTTTACTGCATTTGATGATTCCTTCTATTATCTATTTCATCATGGAAAACTATTGTGTGATGTTTTAGACTCAGGTTGGAAAGATAAACACCAGACTATACACCTGACTGGTTCAGAGGCACATGGTACAGGGCATTGGATGCAGGCCACTTTTTACTTTCTACTGTATATATTTAAAATTAAAGTTAACAGAAAAGGTAAGTATAATTCTCTATTTATAAATGCAAGACTCATTTCTCCCCTAAAAAATTCCATGCATGTTCTGTAAACAGTTTATACACAACTTTAAATATTTGGATACATCAATAAACAGAAAAATAAAGTCCACACCCTTATGGAGTCTATTTCTATTTAAATTAAGGAAGGATATATAATAAACCATAATGAATTACATATAAATTAATTATATAGCGTGTTACCAGCCAAAATATTCCACGTTGTTGTTGTTATGCACGATCGAGTCGCTTGCAACTCATAGTGACCCTATGTACAAGTGCCCTAAACGCCATTCTATCCTGTGCCAACCTCACC